AGCACCCCAGCATTTTGTGTAAGTTTTTTTTTTTTTTCAAGATGGAGCCTCAGTCTGTCACCCAGGTTGGAATGCAGTAGTGTAATCTTGGCTCACTGCAACCTCCACCTCCCAGGTTCAAGCAATTCTCTTGCCTCAGCCTCCCAAGTAGTTAGGATTACAGGCGTCTGCCACCACATCCGGCTAATTTTTGTATTTTTAGTAGAGATGGGGTTTCACCATGTTGGCCAGGCTGATCGCGAACTCCTGACCTCGTGATCCACCCACCTCGGCCTCCCAAAGTGCTGGGATTACAGTCGTGAGCCACCACACCCAGCCATAAATTCTGAATTAAACCTGTAAAGCTTCCTTATCTGATTTAAGAAAGGAAGACAAGAAATAGGGGGGAATGAACTTCTTCGAAATTCATTCCAAGCACAAAAGGAAAATTTTTCCCTTTGCATGTAAACTTGACCTTAGTTGATTCTGTTGGGGTTGGCATGGGTATGCAGGGATTGCCTTTTATTATCAAGTGATTTATTTCAAGCGACTTTAAGGGGTTTCAGGTGAAGGAACCCCCATCTGTGCTGGAGAGTTGGATACTCCTTTCAATAGCCACACCAGAGTCATAACAATGATGATAATGCTGGATTATTTGTTAAGCCAGGGTTGTCTGCCTCATATCCATCATGCTGTTTGCAATATTCCTGCTTTCCATCAATGTCTACCGAGGGTAACTTTGGGATTTCTGCTACTAAATGCATGATCCCTCTTCTGCTTCAGTTTCTGGCTTTGCTTTGTCTGTTTCAAAATATGTAGCTTTCTCTTTGGTACAACAACAAACTCATTTTCACTTTTCTTAAATATACTGTGTTATCATTGCTTTTGTTTTCTCTTTCTTATGTATCTGTAAAGATTTTTGGCATATAAATGTAATATTAAAGTCAGTGATGGTATAACTCGCAATGTTTGCATCATGTCCATCTTTTTTAAGGAGTGAAAAAGTCCTACGATGTTTTTAAAGAATAGCAAGTGTAAGCTCAGTACTAGAGTGACTACACACAATGCATGTTTTCATATGTGGCACTTTTATGTAGTGTGTTGGGTTATTGTTCTAGATCGGACTGTAAAATACTATGTTCGAGGCTGGGTTGTCATTTTTATAACTGTCTTGGTGTTTTATGGCCATTATTTATTACTTTTGATATAGAGAATGAGCTCCGTGCATTTATAAAGCAATAAGACGATGTATTTAATGTGCTTTGTTTTTAACTGAATAAGAACCGGAAGCATGAATCAATAAAACTGATTAAAACAGTCAAAAAAAAAAAAAAGCTGGTGAAGTGTTTTTTTCTTTAAAACACATGCAGAACACACATTCGCGCCCTTGTGTGCACACACACACAACTCACACACACACACCAGCCAAACGATCTATCTAAATGGGGCTGTGGTGGTGAGAGCTCTGGGCAATGGCATCTTACCAAACGTGCAGTGCTCTGGAGACAGTGACACCCTTTTTGTTTATTTCAGATAAAAAACAATGCAGGCTCTGTCCTGAAGATCATCATCCAAACAAGAAAAGGGAACATGCCTTCCCAAATAGGAGGCCTTCCTGGCCTATGATGAAACTTTGGGCCTGGCTCTGGGATGCACAGCCTTGTTCTACTCTGCCCTCTCTGTTCTGATCCTTGTGGAGCTTGTGTGGCACCGAAACACTCCCATGGTCAGGACCAGCAACCTGACTCTGAGCTACCCCCGCGTTGTCTCCCTCATGCTCTGCTTTCTCTCTTCCTTGCTCTTCATCAGCCGCCCCAGCCCTGCCACCTGCCTCCTCTGACGGACCACCTTTGCAGCTGTGTTCACAGCGGCTGTGTCTTCTGCAGGGCCTTCCAGGCTACAAGGCCAGCAAGCAGGATAAAGTGGATGGGTCCCCAAAAAACACATTCTGTTGTCTTCCTTTGCTCCTGTATCCAAGTGACCCTCTGTGGAATCTGGCTGGGGACAGAGCCTCCTTTCATAGACAACGACCCTCAGTCCGTGCCTGGCTACATCATTATCCAGTGTAATGAGGGCTCTGTCACTGCCTTCCACTCTGTCTTGGGCTATCTGGGCTTCTTGGTTTTGGGGACCCTTGCTGTAGTCTTTCTGGCAAGGAACCTGCCTGATGCCTTCAACGAAGCCAAGTTCCTCACCTTCAGCATGCTGGTGTCCTGTGGTGTCTGGGTGTCCTTCCTCCCAAGTTACTACAGCACCCAGGGCAAGGCCAGAGTGGCCGTGAGATCTTCTCCATCGTGGGCTCCAGCGCTGGGTTACTTGGCTGCATCTTTGCTCCCAAGTGCTATGTGATCCTCCTTCATCTAGAAAGGAACATTCTTCAATGTTTAAAGAAGCAGCCTAGTCCAGGCATGGTGGCTCACGCCTGTGATCCCACACTTTGAAGGCCAAGGCAGCTGGATCGCTTGAGCCCAGCAGTTTGAGAGCAGCCTGGGCAATGTGGTGAAACCCTATCTCTACAAAATATACAGAAACTAGCTGTGGGTGGCAGTATGCATCTGTAGTCCCAGCTACTCAGGAGACCGGAGGTGGGAGGATTGCTTAAGCCTCAGAGGTCAAGGTTACAGTGAGCTAAGATCACACCACTGCACTCTAGCCTGGGAAACAGAGCATGACTCTGTCTAAATAAATAAACAAAAAGCCTGAGAAACCATAAACAGACGAAACAATAAACAGGCTGAGAAAAGGAACTGTAATGATCATTAGTGGCAGAGAATTTGTAACCTAATTGTGGAAAGCACACCTGAAAATTAGCAAAGATTGAATGAACAATTTTTAAAAAATGGCAATGAAAGATAGGAAATTTACAGAGGCAAAATCTGAATATCCAGTGAATAATAAAAATATTCTGGCTGGCTCAAAGGTAGTGACTTCTACCAGTTTATTGTCCACAGTCATTACAGACCAAATTCCTTGTTCTACTCTTTCCCCCCTCCTAATGCACTTGACTAGTCTTTAACGAAGAAAAAAAAAAAAAAAAGATGCTAAGCCTGATAGTCAAAAATTCAAATTTAAAAAAACATAAAATAGTTAATTACTTCTCAGCACAATGGCAAAAATTACAAATCTGGAATCACTAAGTGTTGATTGGGATATGGAGCACAAAGTGAGGGCATTGGGAAGGGTGAGGTCTGTGAAGACGCTAGAACTACTGACTGGGATTTTAGCACCGAAATCAACCTCAAAGTTCAATTGCTCACCCTTTGGTTATGTTACAGATGGTGCAATGCTGGGTCACAGAGCTTACCCCAGGTCCCCAAGCGAAGTCAGTGGCAGTGCCTGGACGGGAAGTTCATCCCCATCCATTTTCACTTGCGGAATCTCAGGGCTCGGTAAAGAACCACGATTGACGGAGGTCACACAGCAACTGGTATGACAGGGACGGGTTTCCGGAATTCCAGTGTCTTAACACCAAGCCCTGTAGTACTTCTCAGAGATCAAAACCACTGCTCTTGTGTGCTCAGAAGACAGTTTAGTGGTCATAAAATCCAATACATCCAACTTGCAGATCAACACACAAAGACCCTGGAGGAAGGTGGGGCGGTAATTTCTCCCAGTCTCCAAAGAAAAGGCAAGAATGGTGATCATCAAAGCCGCTGGCACTTGGAAGGGTCACTGTGTGCCGGCCATTGCTCTGAGGTTCCCTTAATTCTCACAACTCCCTACATTTTAACATCAAATTCTAACATCATCCTCACTTCACCTATGGGAAAACTGAGACACAGGGCATCATCCTCACTTCACCTATGCAAAAACTGAGACACAGAGGGCACCATCCTCACTTCACCTACGGGGAAACTGAGACACAGAGGGTGTCTCTTGCCTGAGGCCCTGAAATAGTAAGAGAGCACAGCAGGGGCACCAGACATTATTTCACAAAAAGGGAAACCGAGGCCCAGAGAGGGTGAAAGGTCACCGGCTCACCCTCTCAAGGACGAGTGGTATAGGGTAGGTGGCCTCAAAGACAGAGAGGTTGGCTCAGAACCCACGGCCCCTTCAAATCAGCTTTCTCCCCTCCCGTGGGCAGCTATGACGTCACAGGGGAACTGGGGGGGCCGTTACCATGGAGACTGGAAGCCCATTCAGAAACAGGGTGGAAACTGGGAGTCGCCCTCATCTCCCAGGGCACCACTTTGGAGCCAGCATTTTCGGCCTCAGAAATGAGGCCCAGAGCGCCTCGCGCGAGCAGCCCCAACCTCCCCGCAGGCGACATGCGACACCGACCGGGTGACCGAGGCTCGGGAATCCCCACACTTCACGCACGCAGAACGAGGGCAGAGACACCTCAATGCGCGTGTGCAACTCTACCCCGTCCTTTAAAGAAGGCCGTGTGGCCTCTCCACCAATCGGAATCCTGCTTTTTCCTTGGTCCCGCCTTATTCCCAGACTTCCGGCGTCTCGCCGGCTGCAAAACAACCCTAAACTAGAGGGCTCGGCAACTCCCAGAGACTTCTGGATATTGTAGTCCCAAAGATGCAGAGCGACAGGAGGAGCACGTTTTAGTAAAAAGCAGCTTAGAAGAAAAATGTCTATACCAGTGATGATTCGGCGGGTTGGAAACGCTTGTTAGATGATTTCATCCACTGTTATTTGTGGGGGAAGCAGGAGGTAAGGAGAAGGAAGGCGGCCGCAGAGGCTTCTGGGAATTCTAGTTCAGCGCACTGAGCAAGTGCTGGGAGCTGCGACCTTCGCCCCGGATCCGGAAGTGGTCGCCGAGGCCTCCTAGCAGCCAATGTGAATGCGACAAGTCCCTGGTCCAGGCGCCCCGCTCTCCCCGGCCCAGCTCGCCAGGTCCTACCACGATGCCTGACTCGTTTGCGGCTTTGGGACCGGTTGTAGGGAGCTTGACCGTCACTAGTAGACGTTTCTGATTGTGTCGCGGTCACCATGGTAACGACTTTAGCTTCCCTTCCGCCCTTGCGGTGACGTCACTGGCGGAGGCCGGACTGGGGTGGGTTGGGGAGCGGGAGTGCGCATGCGCGTTGGGCGAGGCTGAGGGAGGAGGGAGAGATTCGTGGGAGGACGGAACCCGGGGATGGGACTGGAGGAGTTTCCGTGACCTTGCGGGCTGTTTGTGCTGAGGGGCAGCTTTATTTAAATAATAATATGCGTGCAGGCGCCCTGCATGATTCCTGGCCGCGTGCTTTCTAGTAAGTGCGCAGAGACTTTTCGCAAGAATTGATTCACTCTTTTTTTCCTTCACTCCTGATTTTTTATTGGAAACTCAGACTTCCTTTCTCGCCTGTCGCCAGGTTAACTAGGTCACTGTTTGCTCTCAGTAGCAACCCTGCCTCCCGCAGTTCGCTTGGTCCTTGATTACAGGTTCGTGCTGTGCATTCATTCATTCAGTGAGAGCCGAATAAGTACTAGTGGCCAAGGAGACAGCAGTGAGCTCAACAGCTGAATGGCCTCAGACCTTACCGAGTTTCTCAATACCAGGGTTATTGACATTGGGGGCAGACATTGCTTTGTTCTCGGGGGCTGCCCTGTGCGTTGTAGGATGTTGAGGATCTTCCCTCACCTCACCCACGGGATGCCAGGAAAAATCCTCTCCGGCCCCCAACTCCTGGTTGTGACAACCAAAAATGTCTCCAGACATTGCCAAATGTCCCCTGGGGGCTGAAGTCAGCCTACTGAGAACTGCCGCCTTAGAAGTTTTCCAACACTCTTCTATACCTTCCCATAACTTGGTCACCCAGGAAACTCTCACCAGGTGATTGAACTCTGATATGAATGGACATGATCTGACACATTAACTTCATTTTACATAAAATTTAAGAGCACTCCCCTCATCAAAGGGAAGGGATGATTAAATGTACAAAGGCCATTAATGGTATCCAGAAGTTACAAAAAACTAACATCAAGCACCTGGGCATATAATCATCTGGTTAGCATATGAAACCTTCTAATGATAAATGGGTTTATAAAGTTAGTTTAAAAATTAGTTACTACTGGGTTCCCCCAAAATAAAATATATCATTTTTGTGTAAGTTGTCTATGGAGGGATTGGCATTCTCTTCTGATGTGGTTTGCCTGTGTCCCCACCCAAATCTCATCTTGAGTTCCCACATGTGGGAGGGACCCCGTGGGAGGTAATTGAATCATGGGGGCAGGTCTTTCCCATGCTGTTCTTGTGATAGTGAATAAGTCTCACGAGATCTGATGGTTTTTTATAAAGGGGAGGTTCCCTGCTCAAGCTCTCTTCTCTTGTCTGCCGCCATGTGAGACGTGCCTTTGACCTTCTGCCATGATTGTGAGGCCTCCCCAGCCACGTGAAACTGTAAGTCCATTAAACCTTTCTTTTGTAAATTGCCCAGTCTTGGATATGTCTTTATCAGCAGCGTGAAAACAGACTAATACATCTTCCATCTGTCTGTCATCAACTTACTGGGTGGTTTCCGTGGCTTTTAGCAGTTTCTTTATTACATTTTAAAGGATCAGCCCTGTTTGCACATGAATTGCTGTAAGAAAAGACGAGAGCTTCCTAGGAGCTGTTATGCAAACACAGCCATATCAACTCAGTCAGAATGTCTGGGGATGGGAGCCCAGACCTCTGCACTTACAAGTAAACAATCATAATCACAGCAGTAACAGTACCTAGCACTAACAAGCATGGTGTGCTGACAATGCCTGAACTATGGTTGCAGGATTTCTGTGGAAACACCATCTTTAATTCTCACGATGACTGTATGAAATAGATACAGTCTATATCCCCATTTAACAGAGGAGGACATGGGGACACAAACACGTAAGATAAGTGCAGCTGAAGAGTGGAGTATTTTTTGTTTTACATTTTTAATTCTGGGATAATTTTATATTTACAGAAAAGTTGCAATGATATAGTCCAGAGCTTTCTCACGTACCCCTTCCCCACTTCCCCTGCTGTTGACATCTTACATAAGCCTAGTAGATGTGTCAGAACCGTAACATTGCTACAGTACTCTTAACGCCAGACTTTATTCACATTTCCCCAGTTTTTTCTCTAACGTCCTTTTCCTGTTCTGGGGTCACATGTGGGACACCACATGACATTTAGTTGCCAGGTCTTCCTGCCCTCCTCTGATCTGCAGCGGTGTCTCTGACTCTCCTTGTTTTTGGTGACCTTGACAGTTGTGAGGTGTGCGGACCGGGTGTTCTGTACAATGTCCCTCCATTTGGAATTGTCTGATGCTTGCTTATGATTAGACTTGGATTATGGGCAGGAACTGACTTTTAAACTTTTTAAAAAAATTTTAATGAAAAATTTTACATTGATACTTGGTTCAGTTATCAGACAACCTTTAACCCTGTTTGGAACAACTTGGATATGTGAATCTACTTTTTAACTATAAATGTTAGAAAATATAATTGCGGATCAATTTTAGCATTCAAATTGAGATGCACCATACGTGAAAAATACACAATGGATTTCAAAGACTTCATACAAAATGAAGGATATAACTGATTTCATTAATAATTGTTTGTGTTGATTACATATTGAAATGTATCTTGGATATATTGAATTAAATCATACATATTATTCAAATTGATTTTACCGGGTTCTGGGCTAATAGGAAGTGTGAAATAAGTGTGGCTCACGGATTTTTATTGGCTAACACCGCCCTAGATAATGACAATACATTAATTGAGAACTATGTGCCAGGTAGTGTGTTTTAGAAATATTGTCTCATTTAGAACACATGAACACAGAGAGGGGAACAACACGCACTGGGGCCTGTTGGGGTATGGGGTTGCGGGGAGGGAGAGCACTGGGAAAAATAGCTAAGGCCTGCTGGGCTGATTACCTAGGTGATGGATTGATGGGGGCAGCAAACCACCATGGCACACGTTTACCTGTGTGACAAAGCGGCACAGCCTGCACATGTACCCTGGAACTTAAAAATTTTAAAAATTATGTTATCTCATTTAAAGTTTACCTCTATGAGGCAAGCTCAGTAGACTGTTCCTTAAACTCCACTTTAAAATGATCCCTGGGGTGAAAGAAGTTTCCATCCGTCTGTGAAATATACCAATTGATGCTTCAGGCTCACTGAATGCCCCTGGCTAGTGCAGTGCTTTCTAATATGCCTTCGTTCTTCTCTATCGGTTCAGTTATGTGACTACCAAGAGCTAGTTGAGTTGCATTTATTCGAAACCTTTTCATTCTAATGGGTTTTATTTCAATGATGTTTTATTTCAAAAATGTAATAAATCACATTTAACATAAATGAGGAGAATATGAGTGCGTCGGCAAAGAATTGTTTCCACCAAAACAATAGTTCAGTGGGAAAGATGTGATAAAGGTCGATTGTTAGTAAGAGCAACAACAAAAAATACGTCAAGTTGGAATGGGCAAGATGGCCATAGGGATGATTTTTTCTTTTTTTTTAATGCAGCGAGGATTTTGCTTAAATAGCTTTGCAAGCATGCCTGTGTCTCCACTGCCCTTTTAAGGTACAAAGTGGAAATTGTAGGTCCATAGACCTATAGAACACCACCACCACCCCCTGGTCTTATATCCAAAGATTGGCAAATGAGTGTACAGTTTTACATTTTAAAACAAAATGGTAAAAGTATTTTTAATTTCTTATTGGAACCAACTTATTTGATGAACCAGCCAATGATGGTTCTGATCATGATGGTAAGAAAACTTCTACCCTACTGTTACTATCCCCATCTGACGATAAAATAAGGCATTAAGAGACAATACCCTCCCCAAGGCCGCATATTCATTAAGGGTGGAGCTGGGATTCGAACCCAGGAAACCTTTCTCCAGAGCCCAAGCTCTCAACCAGGAAATGGAACCACCTCCAGAGTAGGCAGGAAACATGCAGGCTGGAGAGCTGGACACGGCTTCCTCCTGGAACAGCCACATCCTCACACCTGTATTTCCTCGGGACGGAGCGGGGAGCCCCAAATCTTTACATAAAAGAATACGGACTTTGGAATGAGTCAAACTGGGTCAAATCTCAGCTCTGTAGCTTAGTGTGATGTTGGGAGAGCCATCAGTCCCTCTGAGCTGTAGTTTCTTCACCTGTAAAGTGCACAGTTAACTGATAGGGTTTATGACTCTTGGTAAACCACCAGCATACCTGTTAGTTCTCAGTGTGGGGGAATGGAATAACCCAAACTTTTCAGCCATTTCAACAAGTATACATTTTATTATGGAAGTAGTGGAGATAGTCTGAGAACGATCTGGAGGAGAGATTTTAGGGGAAACCCCTGCAGTTGCCCTCTCAGCCGTTCTGGATGCATCCTTCCAAGGCATGGCCCCCACAGACCCCTTCTGGCCATGCCTCTGGGCACCCAGCTGCCATTCCTTAAAGGACCCAGTTCATTACCCTCCACACAGGCAGTCCAGGGGATAGAGAGCTTTCTTCAGAGGTGAGAATGCCTGGGAGATGGAGGCCTTGTGAAGACTGAGCTGAGATGGAGCAGGCTCACTAGAAAGAACAGCAGGGATCATCCCTAAGAAAGGAGAGAGAAATGTATTTGTGCATTGATTTTCGTCCTCACACATTCTCATACTCCTTGCCTGGTGCCCTGTCCCTCCACCCCACAGGGCTCTTGGTGACCTGCCTCAAGCCCACCTCCTCCCTCCAGCCTAGCCCATTCTCTGCACTCACTAGGTTCCACTAACTTTGTCCCTGTGCCCACCAGGCTGTCCCAGCAGCTGCAACACGCTTCCCTCAGATCTCATGGACCCTAGCTCGGCCCCGTCACCAGGGCAAGTGTCTCCTCCTCAGAGCAGGGCTCTTCTAGAAACCAGCCAGCGGGAAGCAGCGCCCCCCTCCAGTTCCTCACTGTCCCCCAGTGCCAGGCCTGAGCTTGTGTCGCACCCCTACCTCGCCACTAGAGGGCGCACCCCACAGGAGCGGGGGCTGCCCAGGCCTGGCTGCCCTGCACCCCCAGCCTGGCGCACTGGAGTCAGGCAAGGTTGCAGGAAGAGAACCTTAAGGTTTGCTTCTGGGCACTGGAGTTCCAGGGATGGATCAGGGGTACTTCTTACTCCCAGAGAGGCTCACAGTCTATGTGAGCAGGGGCCCTCAAACTGTGTTCGGCAGGGCCAACTGCAGCCTGCATCCCTTTTCATCAAGTTTTTTTTGTAATTGAGGTAACGTGTAACCATAATGCATAACATAAAATTCGCCATTTTAACCATTTTGGAAGTGCACAATTTAGGGACTTTCGGTACGTTCACAATATTGTGCAATTGTCACTTCTAAGAGTGGAACATTTTCATCAACCCAAAAAAGAAATGCGTTAGGCAGCCACTCCCCTTATTCCTTTTGCCCCTCAGCCTCTGGCAACTAGTAATTGGCCTTCTGTCTCTTTGAATTTGCCAGATCTGTCCGTTTCATATACATGGCATCATCTACTGTGTAGTCTAGTGTGTCTGCTTCTTTCACTCAGCACCGTGTTTTCAAGGTTCAGCCATGTTGCATGTGCCAGGACCTCACTCCTTTTTTAGGGCTGAATAATAATCCATTATATGAATGCACCATGTTTTGTTTATCCATTCATCGGTCGTTGGGCACAGTCACAACCATCGATGTATTCTCTATGATTGCTTTGAGCTCCAACAGCAGAGCAGAGTAGTTGCAACAGACCATCCGGCCTGAAAAGCCAACACTTAACTATTTGGCCCTTCCCAGAGAAAGTTTGCCAACCTCTTGCCTGATGGGTTGAAAGCACACATTTATATGAAAATAACTATGTGGTTTGACCAGTGCTTTAATGTGTGGTTGAGGAGAGCCTGAGAAACCATTCAACACCATTCTTTTCCTTCAGCAGTCCTCCCCAGTGGAATCTGAAGGATTGCTCTTGGTTCCTGAACCAAAGCATTGCTTAGGTGAATCTTGAGGACTGAGGAGGACTTTTCTAGGTCGACAAAGATCAAGGAATCAATGTGTGTAATGGCGTAATGGAGCAGGAAAAAAAAGTGATGTTTTCAGGGGAATCAGAAATGGTTTAATATGGGGTGGGCGCGGCGGCTCACGCCGGGTAATGCCAGCAGCTTTGGCCGAAGTGGGCGGAGTCACGGCGAGGTGCAGGAGTTCGAGACCAAGCGTTGGGCCGACATGGACCCCCTAGCTGTGTACTGAAAAACAAAAGACTGAGGCCAGGCTGGCGAGCCCTGTAACCGCGAGACGGGATGGGAGCTGAGGCAGGAGGAATGTGGACGCTGGACAGAGGCTGGCAGGTGAGCTGAGACTGGCACTGTGCGCCAGCCTGGGTGAGCAGATGAGCCGCGGAACATGACAGACAGACAAAAAAGACATGGTTAGCCGGGCCGGGGCTCAAGCCGTGAGCCCGAGCACTTTGTGAGGCCGAGATGGTGATCACGAGTCAGGGAGATCGGGAGACCATCCTGGGCTAAACAGCGGTGAATACCCGCGTCTGCGTGTACTAAGAAATAGCAAAACACTAGCGCGGCGAGGTGGCGCCCTGTAGTCCCAGCTACGACGGGAGCGAACCGGAGAATGGCGTGAACCCAGGAGGGGATTGCGCAGAGCTTGAGATCCGGCGAGCTGCACGCCAGCCTGGGCGTACAGAGCAGCTGCCGTTCAAAAAAAAAAAAAAAAAGACATGGTTTGGAATAGGAGCGGAGAAGAAAAGAAAGAGAAAAGTTTAGAGAAGCAGGAGAAGCTTGGAGCCTGAGAACCCTCGGGTACCATGCCAGGGAGCTGAACTTGATCAATGGGGCAGAGGCTTCCTGCCAGGTTCCCTGAAAACTTGGGATCTTTTAGGAATTCTACAAAGATTTGCTTTTTCATTTCAAAAATGAAACTATTTTTTAAAATGGGTGTGTACCCAAAATAGAGCACATGGACTGAAGTTTTTATTCACTGGAGAGCCACACCAACCTGTTGCATGTTTTACATAACAGACCTTGGAAAGATTTTTTTATTACCTGAAGGGCATGTAGAGTTCACAAGGCCAACTGTTAGACAAATGTTGAACACGCTGCTTACTTAACCTTTCGCCCCAGTTGATTTATCTCTGTGCGATTGCATGATTTTTCTACCATTATGGAACAATTTAAAAAGTAAACGACTGGCAGAATACGGTAGGGTAACAGGAGAGTAATGGTTAAGACAGGCAAAGCGACTTTCTGTTACTGTGGCTTTGCCGAAATCTCATCAACCTTCACTTCATAGGGTAAGTAAATGCTTCACACAGTTAATCCTTAGGCGAAAAGGTACTTCTCGGGTAATTGAAAAGCCAACTTTTTTTTAGAATTTTTTGATGATATTGGGATTCCATGGTAAGATTCGAGGTTAGGGAAAGGTGGTTTTGGTTTCTTCCTTTTTAAGTCTGTGAAAAGACAAACTCGTCGATAGTTGATGAGGTTTGCCACTGGTGGAGATTTAAACGGGATGGGGCAAGCTGGTGGCGAGTTTATTCACCATGGATTGGTTTGGACTTTTTAATGGTTTTTGGAGATCCGGAGAGTTTTCTCGCTTCTTGTCGGCCCCAGCTGGAGTGCATGTGGCGGGGGATTCTCAGGGCTTCCACTGGGCAAAATTACACCATCCGGGGGTTACGCCATTTTTTCTCCTGCCTCAAGCTTCCTAGGGGAGTAAGCGGACTCCCCCAGGTCGGGCGGCTGACGCCCCGGCACCCTCGCTCGGGGCTAGTATTTTTGTTTTTTTTGATTTTAGTTAAAGGAGACGGGGGTTTCCCCACGGTTGTTAGCCAGGATGGGTTTCTCGTTCTTCCTTGACTCGGTGATTTTTTCCGGGGCCCGTTCATCGAGGCCCTCCCATGATGTTTGGCCGGTAAGGATTTTACGAGGCTTGAGGCCCCGCACCGGCGCCTGGCCCGGTATGACCAATTCTTTTAATGTATATAAACAACTGGAAGCCAGGAGAGGATTGGAATAGGCAGGCGAGCAGGGAGAGCTAGGAGACCTCTTGTAAGCTTAGTTCGGGAAAGGAAGAGGATAATTCTCCATTCTATCCTTTAGTTGACTTTCTCTTCCGTCTACTGTTTACCATAACAGCCTTGGACGCCAGGCCCCCCCCCCCCCCGTACCCGATCAATTCGTCGATGGGGAAAAACTGAGTAGCCTCTTTAAACTGGCCTTGCCCACCTTGGACCGTCCACTGGACGGTGGTTCTCTTTCCAACTGACAG